TTATTGTGATTTACAATGCAAGGCAGCAGTTGTCTGCATTAATTCAGCCCCCGGAGAGTCAAAATTCATCTATTCCTCTCTCCTTATCTCCACTCCTGCAATATTATTATCATGGAGGCTGGGTTCAAATGGCTAGACTGACAATAGTTTTCAACTAACGCCCATCTAATTTCAGGCTATCCTGAGACTACACCCTACTCCACACACACACAATGCACAGTGTGAGTCAATGTAGAATAATGCAGAAATAATAACTATTATTTGTACAAATATTTAAATTATGGTCAGATCCTGTTTTATGCTATAGCAATAAAAAAAATACAGGGAGGCAGAGAAAATTAAGGGATGCAGAGAAATTGGAAGAGTAAGTCATGCAAGCTTTGAACACACCTACAACTCACTTTGATAAATAGCTATGATAAGACCGCAAAGCTTAACACTTCTGTAGCGGAGCTGCAATATTAAATCCCAAGATCTCCACTGGTATAGAAGAAAATCCAAAGTAAAGCGCTGGAAAAGAAGGCAATATCCCAAATCCCCCAGTAACCGGACGAAACACAGTTCAGGGAGTCAACTGACAATTTTATTCACGGCTCCAGGAGTCAACTGACAATTTTATTCATGGCTGTTAGCCTATGCATGCTCTCTATTCTAAAACACACAAATACATTTTTACAACAGGTTAACACTGCTATTTCAGACAACCTTTAAATGTTCTGCAATATGACCTAAAGTGGCTAGGTTTGCCACAATGCTCCCCCAGAACCAAGCCGGCATACACAGTCTGATCCCAACGGATCGGCAGATCACTTCTCAAGGTCAGTCTATCTAAATAACCCGTCGGCGTTACCGTTTTGCTTTCCTGGGCGGTAATGAATAGTGAAGTCAAAAGGCTGCAGCTCCAAACTCCAGCGCAGCAGCCTGGCATTGTCCCCCGCCACACGGTTCAGCCACACCAACGGGTTGTGATCCGTGAGTAGGGAAAAAGGTTGTCCATATAAATAAGGCTGCAACTTTTTGAGGGCCCACACCACGGCCAGGCATTCTTACTCAATGGCGGCGTAGCTCACTTCATGGGGTAATAACTTTCGGCTTAAGTAAACTACAGGATGTTCTCCGCCATCTGCTCCAACTTGGCTCAGCACTGCTCCAAACATTGAAGCGTCTGTGTGGACAATAAATCGTTTAGTTGGATCAGGAGCAGCAAGTACAGGTGCATTGGTTAAAGCAGTCTTGAATTGTTGGAACGCCTGATCACACTCTGGGGCCCAGATGACCTGTCAAGGAAGGTTTTTGCAGGTCAAGTCAGTCAGGGGTTTGACCAGGGCACTATAATTAGGTACGAATTTTCGGTAGTACCCTGCAGTACCCCAGGAAGGCTAGCACTTGGGTTTTTGTCCGGGGGGTAGGCCACTTAGCAACTGCTTACATTTTTGCTGGTTCAGGCTTTTGATGTCCACTCCATACACGGTGCCCCAGGTATTGTACCTCTGCCATCCCTATGTGACACTTGCTGGGCTTTAGCGTTAACTCTGCCTCTCCGATACGGTCAATGACTGCTCCAATATGTCACAGGTGGTCTGACCAGGTCTGGCTATAGATGGCGATATCATCCAGGTATGCACATGCATACTCCTGAAACCCATCCAGTAGCCGATCCACCATCCGTTGAAAGGTAGCCGAAGCGTTTTTCATCCCGAATGGCATGACGCAAAAATGATACAAGCCAAACAGGGTGACAAACGACGACTTAGGGATGGCATCCTTGGCTAGTGGAATCTGCCAGTACCCTTTGCATAAATCTATTGTAGTAAGGTACTGGCCTCGTGCCATTTTGTCTAGCAGCTCGTCTATCCGGGGCATTGGGTCGGCATCAGACACTGTTTTGTCATTTAGTCTCCGGTAGTCTACACAAAAGCATGTTGTGCCATCCTTCTTGGGTACCAGCACTACCGGCGATGCCCAGGGGCTATCAGAATGTTCAATAACCCCTTGCTGCAACATTTCCTCAATTTCCTTCCTCATATGTTCCCTGACCGCTTCCAGGATACGGTATGGGGTCTGCCGCATAGGTAGCTGTCCGGGGGTCTCAACTCGGTGAGCAGCTGAACACCTGTGGAGGCCTCTGCCTGATCTTCCCGCTCTAATAAGTCAGGTAGCGGAAGATTCTCCTGATCCTCAGAGGCTGAAGCGCATATCGCCGCCACGTCCTCTATCCTCTCATGGTAGGGTTTGAGTATATTCATGTGGAGCATGCGTCTCTTCTCTGTCCCTGTGCAGGGGCCAATCACATAGGTGGTGTCACATCTCTGTTCCACCACCTGGTATGGGCCTTGCCAGATGGCCTGCAGCTTGTCATTGCGAACAGGTTTTAAAATCAAAACTTTCTGTCCCACGTGAAAGCTGCGGTCTCTGGCTCCCCTATCATACCTGCGGCACTGGCGTTGTTGGGCAGTCTGGAGGTTGGTCCGTACGGTCTGGGTTAGTACCTCCAAGCGGTCCCTGAGCTCCAGCACATATGGTACAATGGGTGTCCCATCTGTACTACTTTCCCCCTCCCAGTGTTCGCCAAATTAAATCTAAAAGTCCTCGCACCCTTCTCCCAAACAGTAGTTCAAAAGGAGAAAAGCCAGTGGACTCTTGGGGTACCTCTCTGTAAGCGAATAGCAGATGGGGTAGGAATCGCTCCCAGTCCTTATAGGCCTCTCCAAAGGTACGGAGCATCTGCTTTAACGTCCCATTAAACCTTTACATAATCCATTAGACTGCGGGTGGTACGCAGAGTTCACGATAGGTTTAATGCCACATATTCTCCATAGTTGGTGGGTCACCTCGGCCGTGAACTGCATACCCCTATCTGATATGCTCTCCTGGGGGAACCCAACTCGGGAGAATACTTTCATTAAGGCCTCTGCCACTGTCTCGGCATGGATATTAGGGAGGGCTACTGCTTCGGGGTACCGGGTGGCGTAGTCTACTATGGTCAAGATATATCTCTTGCCGGAGGGACTGGATTTTGGTAAGGGCCCTAGTATATCTACGGCCACTCTACTAAATGGTTCTTCTATGATGGGCAGTGGGCATAATTTGGCCTTGTGGCGGTCACCCCTCTTGCCTACTCGCTGACAGATGTCACATGTCTGACAGTACTGCCGCACGTCCTTGGATATACCCAGCCAGAAAAAGGCATGGGTCAAGTGGTATCGGGTGCGAGTCATCCCCAGATGCCCAGACAAGGGGATGTTGTGAGCGATCCGAAGAAGTTCCTGTCTATATTTCCTGTCTAGTAGTCACATTCACAGATCCCCCCACTACCCTTTCAGAAATGCAGTACAGTAACCCCTTTTCCCAGGTATACTGTTCTCCCTCTAATTCGGCCTGGTCGGAGATCACCCTATCCCTGTATACTTTCAACGTGGGGTCTATCTGAACCTCAGCCTCAAATTCAGTCGGGGTATCCCAGATAAAACGGGTCGTAGGAGGGTCCCTGTCTTTTACATGAGCCTCAGAGTGTGTTGCTGGAGCCGTGGTGCGAGCCTGTTGCTTGGTGGTTACTGGGTGAGCCTCTTGGAGTGGAGCTTGAGGAATAAAGGTGGAAGTCATTCGACCCAGGTCGTTTCCCAATACGACATCCGCTGGCAGTTTCTGCATCAGGCCCACCTCTACCATGCCCTCCCCAATACCCCAATTCAAATGGGTAATCTGTATACCGCTCCCCCTGCTACTCGCACTGCTACAGATCCGCCGGTGTGTGCGGAGCCTGGAACCAAATGAGGGGCTACCACAGTCAGAGTGACTCCCGAATCCCGGAGCCCTTGGACCTCTTTCCCTTCCAGGGTTACTAGCTGTCGATGGTGTTGCCTGTTGTCTGTGGCTTATACCGACATCACATCGTGTAGTATCACCAGGGGCTCTTCGGTCTAAATAAAAAGTATCTCCTGGGTTGCTGGCTCCGCTTGGTAGTGGTGAGTGGCTGCCCTTGGTGCTGGATTCTGCCGTACCTGGCTCCATGCTTGGCGGCTCCGGTTCTGGGTACACTCTCTCGCCATGTGGTCCCATTGTTTGCATGTATGGCACTGTATATTCGCTCTGCCATTATACCTGGATGGTGGAATGTGTTTGCTGTAGGTTGGCTGGAATGGGTTTGCTGTAGGTGCAGTAGGGGTAGCTGCATGAGGTTGAGCGGTGGGTCGAGGGTACCCTCGGTTGAGGTTACCATGATGCCTCCTGACGTCATAGTGCTGGTCTGCTAGTCTTGCAGCTTCTGTTAGGGTGAGGGATTTTCTATCTCTCACCCATTCCTGTGCCTCTGGAGACAGGCCATTGAAAAACTGTTCTAACAGCAGCAATTGCCATAACTCCTCCATGGTGGTTGCTTGACTGGCTTGTATCCACCCCTGGGAGGCTTGGTCAAGTTTGTGGGCCCACTCTGCGTGGGAATCTTTCTCTGGTTTGTGCAACCCTCAAAACTTGTGCCGGTATGCCTCTGGGGTAATGGCGTATCTTTCCAGTATAGCCTGTTTTACCCGGGCATAATAATTACTGTCCTCCCTGGGTACAGCCCAATAAGCTTCGGCTGCCCGATCTGACAGTTTGCCTGCCATGAAAGGTACCCACACTGCCTGCTCCAAATCATTTTAAACGCATGGTATGGGATCTTAGGCTTTACCTGGCTGACGACTGAAGCAGTAATAGACTCTGCTCTGGGAGGAGCATCCTGCGGTCCGTGTGCAATCACATACTCCTGCACATTCGCCATCAGTACTGTCAGTATTTCTAGGGGTACTGGCTGGGGTAAAAATTCCATCCTGGTCCTCATTTCCTTTTGGAAGGGGGTTTCTTCCATGGCTGGTGGGGGTGTAACGCTGTGAGCTCTGTCTCCCTCCATCAATTCAGCAATCAGCACAGCTTTTGACTTATTGCTGGCTATCTTACCCCTGGCTTCCAATAGTTCCTTTAACGACTGCCATTTCAATGCAGTGTAGTCTGTCTCCATTCACCTCTGTGTTCGGTTCTTTGTTGTATCCGAATTGACATTCACTTTCCTGTTCGGTAGTTTCAATTACCCGAACACCGCTTTTCGGCTGTAAGGTTGGATCCCGTCGCTTGCCACCAATTGTAGCGGAGCTGCAATATTAAATCCCAAGATCTCCGCTGGTATAGAAGGTAATCCAAAGTAAAGCGCTGGAAAAGAAGGCAATATCCCAAATCCCCCAGTAACCGGACGAAACACAGTTCAGGGAGTCAACTGACAATTTTATTCACGGCTCCAGGAGTCAACTGACAATTTTATTCACGGCTGTTAGCCTATGCATGCTCTCTATTCTAAAACACACGAATACATTTTTACACCAGGTTAACACAGCTATTTCAGACAACCTTTAAATGTTCTGCAATATGACCTAAAGTGGCTAGGTTTGCCACAACTTCCTTCCTGTCCCATTTATCCAACCCGTAGCTCTGATTGATAGTTCTTCTACGCCAAGATTGTGTTCCCAGTAACTGAAGTGGCGGCTTCTGCACATAATCTGATCTCTCACCACACCACCTGTTCCCTTGAAATCTCTTTCCCTAAATTACACTTTTTTTTCACCTTTCTTGGGTTAAAGGGACACTATAGTCACCATAACAACTACAGCTTATTGAATTTGTTCTGGTGATTAGAATCATTACCTTCAGGTTTTTTGCTGTAAACACTGTCTTTTCAGAGAAAATGCAGTATTTAAATTACAGCCTAGTGATAACTTCACTGGCCACTCCAGATGGCTGTTAGAGATCCTTACTGGGTCATGGCTGCCTAAAATGCATGCAAACATTCAGTATCTCCTCCCTCTGCATGCAGACACTGAACTTTCCTCATAGAGATTCATTGATTCAATTCATCTCTATGAGGAGATGCTGATTGGCCAGGATTGTGTTTGAGTTGTGGTGGCTCTGCCCCGGATCTGCCTCCTTGTCAGTCTCAGCCAATCCTCTGGGGAAGCATTGTGATTGGATCAGGCCACCACTTCTGATGATGTCAGAGGAAGTTCACAGGCAGAGGCAGAAGCTTCAGACTTGCATACAAGTAAGATTTTACTATCTTTAGGGAGACAAAGGGCGCCAAGGAGGCTAGATAGTGTCAGCAATACATGTTTGTGTTTCTGACCCTATAGTGATCCTTTAAGCATAACTTCTGTTTCTCTCAACTAGTGTCTGCCAAGCTTCTCTCAGGCATGTAATCATCACTCTCATCCTAAAAAAAAACAATTTTTTAATCACACATCTCTAACATCCTGTCCTCTTTCCATTTCCTTTTTTTCTCCAACCTTGAATAGGTTGTATATGCAAAGTAAGAGGTATATTTTTATAACTTATCATTACTACAATCTGTTAATTTACCATCTACAACCACCATCTAATTACTGTTAAATTTAAAGATGAGTAATAATGCTTCTTGACATTTTGGATGCTTTTAGACTCGTCCTATTACCCTTTGTAATCCTTTTGTCCAAAACAATGTTCTTTTTTGGTACTGATCTTGACTCTACCATTGATCTTTCCTGGTACATCATTCTCCCTCCCACCTCCCTCAGTTGAAGCACCTCTGTATTAGATAAGAGGCTGCTTCTGGTTTATCTTGGCTTCTCTTGGCAATCGAATAACCTTTTTTTATTATTATTGTAACACCCTGAAAATGCTGACAACACTCATAGTTGTTCCCCCCGCCGATCTCACTCTTTTTCTATTAAATCAAGTCACTAATTGCTTCCTCATTCTCGAACGTAGTGTTTTTCCACTTCTGAAGCTCAATCTCTCCACAACAAGTCTTCTTTCCTCCCTGTCTTCTTTTCTTTCTTCAAATGTACACTGTAGGCACTTCAACCATTTCATCTCATTGAATTGATTACAGTGCCTGTAGTCCCCTGGCACTATCCCTTGACCCATGAAGTCTTAAACCATTGTTGATCAGTTTAACACTAAGTAAGAGTTCCTGGCCATCCATGGCCCAGCCCATAATTAAGGTATGGCTAGGATTGCACAATTTATTCTAGCCATACCAGCTTATGCCAGCAATGGGTACTGTGATAGACTGAAAGTGCTTACACTCTAAGCCAATCACAGCTGCCCATTGCTGGTCAGGTTAATGCTTCATCATTAGCCCTGGGTATTCTTGTTTAGCACTAAAACATTAAAATGTTTAATGCTGAATGGAAGGACACTATAACCAGTTCAATGATTGAAACAGTTGCAGTGCCTACAGCAGGCTTCCCCAAACTCTGGCCCTCAAGATGTTGCTGAACTACAACTCCTATGATTCTCAGCCCATCTATTTAATTGATAGAATCATGGGAGTTGTAGTTCAGCAACATCTGGAGGGCCGGAGTTAGGGGAAGCCTGGCCTACAGGGTCCTTTAACTAAAGTCAACATTCAAATACTATAATTTACAATACATACAAAGCAAAACTTTTTATTAATGTTTTTCTTGTATGTTTCCTTTACTGATTGTGTCATGTTTAGAATAGGCTGAAGTGACATAATTAAAATAGTAATAATGATTATTAATATGCTGGTCATTTCTATATTGGAAAACACGTGCAGTGGTTTGGTAAATATGGTTTAACAGAAGCAAAATTGCCAATAATCCATGACAAGTAGGCTCTTACTAGTAAATCTCATCTAATGTAACACAAAATTATTGAGTGTTAGTTTCTAATAACCATAGTCAATGCACAATCCAAAATTGAAATATATTGTTCTTAAAGTGTTTAAAGTTTACTTGCCAAGAGAGCAACAGTTTAGCTTTCTCGACTTACAAAAATATAATAAATGTTTTAATTTTTTTTTATTTTACATTGCAAAACAAGCTTCATGCCATTGATTATATTACTCTTATAATACGATCATAAGCTAACAAAATTAAGAGTAAATTAGGATTTGTTACCGTAAAGTCTATAATAAAATTTCTGTCAAATCTACACAGACCTATAGGGAGTAAACTGTTTAATTTTAGTGTTTTAAAGCCTGTCCAATGCATATAATTTATTAGATGGGACAAACAATTTTAACGTGATCTTTTTATGCAATTTAATAAGATTGTTTAACTCTAGAGATATTTATAAATTCTTAAACATTTAACTAGTTACACTTTAATATTTATATTGTGGCGAATCAACAACTGAACTTGAAATACATTTTGCAAGTCAGTTTTTAAATGCTAACAAATTAAACATGAGTGTTTAAAAAATTATTCTGAACTTTGTGCATTGGTTAACATTACTGATGCTCTTAGCATTTAAATACACATTGATCTGTAAAGTCAAATTTTTACTTTTAATAATTCGTTTGTCAATTTTAGTATGTTCATCGTTTTATGCAGCTCTGCATACAGCTGTTTTTGAACTTTGTTTTAAATTTTCTTTTCAGCCAATTACAGTTGTTAGAAATGTTCTTATCTGAGGCTTGCTGTATCTTGTGTACAATATTTGTGTTTGTAATATTGAATTATTAAATCAAATTAGATAAGCCCCCAATGAAAACATGCATTTGTTTTGAAAAATGTAGCTTGCAATACCTACAGATCTAGTATCTACAGCTATTGCAAGTCCTCCTCTTTTTCTACTGTGCTGGCAGACTGACCAATCAAATTGAGAATCTCTGCTCGCGAGCTTGCACATGTAATGCTTTTTATTTAGACTTAACAGGGCAAGCTCCGGTGCATGCAAGTGCACAATTAGAGAGTTCCATTAAAGGAACACTGTAGGCACTTTGACAACTTCATATTAATAAAGTAGTCATAGTTCATGCAGTCCTGTCCCCCTTTTTACCTCCCAAAGCTCTCTAGGTAACTAATCAGAGGTGCGACCTCAAGGTCGCCTCCAAACCCTCTGGGTATGAGAGCTAGGAATCTTACCGTGCCGTAAATGTGCAGTGAAGTCAATAAAGTAGTCATAGTTCATGCAGTCCTTTCCCCCTTTTTACCTCCCAAAGCTCTCTAGGTAACTAATCAGAGGTGCGACCTCAAGGTCGCCTCCAAACCATCTGGGTATGAGAGCTAGGAATCTTACCGTGCCGTAAATGCGCAGTGAAGTCACAGTCGGTCATAGAGAATTATTGCATTTAATGATTCTCTATGGAAAATCTTGGCAAATGCCACCCATGCCTCTAATGTGCTCTATAAGGAGCAGTGGATTGACCCGCCTCCTGGATGATGTCACTGAAGGAGGAGCTGCGCTGGAGAAGGTCGTTTCTTTTATTATTTTTTTTCAATTCTATTTTGTTCTTGTCGGAAGTTGGGGAGAACAGTTTAGTAAGGAGTATTCAAATATTATTCAGGTATACAGGTATGTATTCCTATCGCTACAGTGTTCCTTTAATGTGCACAACTTTTCAATCGGGTCTGTCTACCCGCCTACCTCATCTGCTCCTGCCACTTTGGTAAAAAAAAAAAGAATTACCCAATCTATACACATAAAGCACTTCAACAAGATGAAATGTTGTATGTGTTTGGTGTGTTCTTTTAAAATTAGTTTGGTTATTTTCAGAGAAACTGTGCAACCCCATTTTTTCAATAAACAACTCAGTGAAGCGAATGTAAAGATTTATTAAGTAACCGTTCTTTGGATATATATATACCATTTAGTAGGAAAAATTTGGGGTGATTGTCTTGTCACCCTAAATTCTGTAACTCTGAATAGCCGTATATAAACATTATCTATATATTTGCTAGTACACCTATAGGTGAGTTTTTTTCTTTAGTGTACACTAAATTACCCATTGGTAAATACTACCTTAGTTCTCTAATCATAAAATCTGAATTGGGTCATAGGATGCTGATTTTAGATTCTGTTGTGTTATGACTGTCAGGCTACAAGCAGATGTGAGATTAGCAGGGTGTACGCCAAGACGTGAAAACTCTTCAGGTGCACTTCCCGACTTTCTCACTTTCATAAATATTTCTCATGTCTTCATGTCTCACATTTCTCAAATACTATTTTTATATTTCAATGTGCTTGGAAGAATATTTTTTTAATTGTAAAATTTCAGAAGATTCCATAACATGCTTGCTGTGACCGCTCTCTTTCTAAATCCTGCAGCCTGAGATTGCTAATGAATTTTATAAGAGATGT